TTTAAACAGAACATGTCCATACAGGAGGGAAATGGATGCATGTATGCTCAGTGGTGAAATTCAGATACTCTTTCTTGGCTATCTTAGTTCTTGCATTCTTGTTTCCTTTACATTTCCATTCTTCAAGTTTCACTGTTTATTCATTGTGCAAAAAAATATGAATACATGGCCAGTGATAATGTTAGCAGAGAATGTTACTACTACTCACACTACTACTACTACTAGAAATAATAATAATAACAATGATGAAAATAGGCGAAGAGAAGAAAGAACAAAGAGTATGAGGAAGATCAGAATCAGATTTAAGTATTTGACATGGAAAGAAGAAATCAGCTGGGGAAGAAATCCCTTATCATACCATAAGATCAACATTTCCGATATATCATTCAACGACGAATAATAAAGCCTATTTAAAGTAGTATTCATCACTAACTGATACTAGTTGTATCATTGTAGCATGTGACTCCTCACCAGCATATACGTGACCTCATCAAGGGTCAAACTAAGGACCTTAAGGTATCTCGGCTAAAGCGTTAACCGTTTAACCACTTGGTTCATTGGCCTACAGTTTCCTACTTCTGTCGATCCGAGATACATCTCGACTTTCCCCAAACTACATTACTTCATAGTGCTCATTAGTGGCATACTTCGAGATGGATATCCTGAAGTTCTAATGTGGAGCCGTCAACTGCAGGCTCAACTAGTTGGGAGGGAAGCGGATGGTAACTGAAGAACCTGAAGAGTAGTCATGCTATACCGTGGGTTGACAGAAGTAGAAAAAAACTTTACACTACCGAACTCCGACCCAGTGGCAGAGTGGTTGAGGCGTTTGCCACGCAATCCAAGGGTTCTGCGTTTGATATCTTTGAAGTCATGGGTAGGTATTAGAGATGAGTCCCATACTAGGACAGAACGGCTGTTCGATGCTCATGGTTTCCAATGGCTCGTTAACTAATGTCAGTCGGTGATGAACACTTCTTTGAGAATAAAATCCTCATAAAACTTCAAAACAAAAAATCTTATTCATGAAAATTGGTTATGATAAAGTAGTTTATGGTGTTATGAACTTGATTTTAGAGAAAATCCAAATTCGATAAACGTCGCATCATATTAGTTTAGATAAACATACATTGACATTGTGAATGGATAGTTAGTGAGTTTAAGTGGAGAAATGGGCATGACTAAAGATTAAAGAGTCATTTTGATAGCTTATCCCAGTTTCGAAATTTACTAGTGAAAAAAAAATGAGTATTTAGGAACCATTCAATCTGATCTGTAGATTTCATTAACCAGATCTGCACATTAGATGGCCAGTTCACTCGTTTGAGGTTCAGCACATCAGTGGTCTAACAAGACAACTTCAACTTACACAGCCCAACTGTTCAGATTATCAGAATCTGCTTAATTGACTTGGATGGACTAGTATACCTTAAATAGGATAATCAATTTGCTACAGCTACGCAGCTGTGGTGTTAAAGGGTTTCCCGTCAGGCTACATCACTGAAATCTTTACAACAGGCGAGCGGGATGATCGTCGGGGTCTAGATTACTCATATCTGGCAGCCAAAATTCACTCATCAGCACGAGTGGTTTCTAGCTACTCATGTCAGTCAGTTACATGATTCGTAGGTAATGATACTTTTATACAAGAGATCACACCTTTAAATTTTGGCTAGGTGGTTTGTAAAAGAAACCCTCTAGAAAGCATATTTGCGAAATGTCAAAGTGAATCGTGCCAATTGTAAATAGTTTGCAAACTATACTCATTTCAATCGCCGTGAAAAGGTGAGTTTTTACTGAAGGTTGTGGATAGTTATGTTAATGAGTGCCAATATTTAAAAAAAGCACAATTTAAGGGTTTGCAAATAAAATAAATATCTTTATTCTCAAGTTATCTAGACCAATTTTTCGGCTAAGCAACTTGAAATGATTTAGATGCTGATATTTTGAAGAGATGGCTTTTACCAATTATATTTAATGTTTACTTAAAGGAGAGAGAAGCAGTTAATAAGGGTGTTTTAAACAATTAGTCCTTTAATGAATTTCGATAACGCTATTAGAAAACGAAGATTATCTGAAAAATGTGATGTATTTGCGTAATACATTTCGAACAATCTGATCACACATTTACTTGTCAAGTCAATTTATATATGAATATTAAAGGTCAAATATAGTGAATATGAAAAGATTGTGACACTAGTCTTGGTAATATAATCAGATTGCCGAGGATTACCAAGGTAAATTAAGTGAAACAACAAATTGTTTTTGTACACACAGCGGGGGATTAAGTTTACGGATGGCTAACGCTTCGGCAAACTTCAGTATGCTCCCCTGATTATTCTCGTATATTATCTTAAAAGCTGTTTTCGTATTAACCCTGTGATTCATTTCAATAATATGTTTTGCTATAGATGACGATGGATGTCTGTCATCTGCACTTATCAAAGTTTGTGTGTTAAACTGTTTTTCTAGCCATTTGAGGATGTGTTCACCCACCCTAGTCTGCATTGAACGATTACTCCTCCCTATGTATGTGTGCCCACACATACATGTAAATTGGTAAACGCAGTAGGATGTGATGTAATCATTTGTGCGAGGTTGAGGTTTGTGGTGAAGCAGGTGTTTTGTCGTCTCAACAATAATAAGCTGAGCTGCATAGTATGTTTTACTGATAACAGATTTTAATCTCTGCTTCAATATCATACTACTTGTTTCCTCTCTGTATGGTACTTTAAGAAATATGCTTTTCTTGGGGACCGAGGAAACTATAGGCTTTGGGGTCAGCAGTTTTTTACAATGGTTGACAAACTGTAATGGATAACCGTTTTCCACTAGAGTGTCTGTCAGAAACTTATTCTCATCATCCATCGTATCAGATGTACAAATACGTTGGATTCTATTGAACAAGCATCTTACCAAGCCTCTCTTATATTTCATCGGACAAAAACTATGGAAATTCAAATACTGTCCTGTCCAAGTAGACTTCCTATATATTGATCGTTTTATAGATTCATCTTCCCTCCGGCACAAGAGTATATCAAGAAATGCAAGTTGATGGTCTTTTTCTTCCTCACATGTCAGACTCATATGATCTTGTACGGTATTAAGCCTTTTTTAACAACCTCTTGGTATCCTAAATAAGAGTGTTTATTATCTTTTAGGTATGCCTCACAAACTTTGTTTGACAGTCAGTATAAATTAAGGAAACTTGTTCTATGACCCCATATTTTTAAAAGTTTAACTCATTGTGAGGTGGAAATGAAACCTGATTAGAGTGTTTTTTGAGGAAAAGATGTGCTGTTTAATTCTTTCATTAAGTTATGAAGTTTAGCGTTGCCATACTGTTTTACACTAATATGGTCATGATTGATGTCATGGTAGGAGGTAGGTGAAATTGACTCAGTACAAAGTATCATATACCGTTTTGGTTGTTGACTAATTGCGTGAAATGTATCAATCTTTCCTTCCATTCAACTGTTCATCAACAATTATGATTAACTTTCTTATCCATTTTAAAGTTGATCCACTGTGTACCTGTCTCTCAACACTTTTCATTAAAAGAATTGGCGGTTAATGGGAATTCCTCAATATTGGTACAGGGGATTCAAGTGAAATTAATACTTCCCTAATTATATAGTTGAAGAAGTTCATCATATTTAATAAGATAATCATACTGTACTGTAATATAGAAAAATCATCTATGCCCTAACTTTTATTATAGTGAAAAAGGTCATTTCACTTGATAATCAATACCATACTACTTTTATTTGTTATTCATTACCATATGAGCCTTTATCTGAGTTCTATTGTGAAATAATAGATTCTATGTGGAATAATGTTTGAAAAATAGTAAAATATACAAAACTTCCTTTATTTTATTCACAATCGAAACATTCATTCACGTTAAAACTATTTAACCAGTAAACAATTTTTTTTTCTTCATAGGTCTAGTTTACACTGCAGTCTGAAGTTACTTCTGTAAGAAGTAAACACAAGCTAATCGCTTAAATATCCAGTTTGCAGACAGTATATTATAACTTAAACTTGTTAAAAAGGTATTTAAATGGCTACAGTTTACCACTTTTTAAACCAGGATATGCAATTCAACTTTTATGAATACTTTTGTATAGAAATCATTGGATAAATTAATCTCAGAACTCAAACTGATCTTTACTAAGGTTTTCAATGAGGTTTATACTTTCTATTGAAGCTTCCATAAAGAAAATAGTCAATACTATTCTCAACTACTTAAAGATTATTGTTATACTGAAAGGTATCCATATGGATAAAGTCTTCGTGTTCTCTTTAAACACATTAGGAATAAGAGGATTTTGCCAATACACTCACAACTTTCATAAATTCTTGTTGTTATCTAAAGCATTAATAATCTGGGCATCTATAGTAAGTTATTACTCAGCGGTACACACCATTTCCATGAAGTGACTAGCTATCTTCATCCGCAGTAACCGATTCATCCTAAGTTGGTTGTTTCAAGTTAATTGAAGAGCCTATAGTCATGCCCTATAGTGTATGTATGTACAGTTGGGCAGTGAAATCTACTCCTTTGTTGACATATGACAGTTATTTGTATACTCCATCCCTCCACTGTGTTCCATTGTTTTTCAACGTTACAATACAATATAGTCCACTCATTTTATTCTCTAATGTTTTACATATTTTGGTCTGCTAACCTTCAAACTGTATCATTCTATCAGTTGTGGTCAGAAGGAGTACACAGATAGTTTTAAGTAGTTAAAAGGAGACACTATTTGATGGAAGTTTGTTCAAGGATCCTGGACACATGTTGCTTGTTCTAGAAATCCATCATCTGGATGTATCTTAGCCACAGTGATGGTTGGCCATTTTTTTGGAGACCAAAGCGTAGATTTCATCATCCTTAAACATCACAACATTATTCAATTGGCTATTGTGTTGTGCAAATCAGTTATTCAACAATTGTTATTAAACAAACCACATAAAAAAAGAGAAAACCAACTTACTTTTTGTATTTCTATAATATCATTGTCTGTTTCAGTATTACTCAGTGGTATAACTGTTTCATTATTGTTACTGCTATCCTGGTTGTCAACTTTTGCTTGATTTATGGTTGTATTCAAAAGTATACTACTTTTAACTGTAGTATCGTTGGGGAACATGATGGGTCCAGAGACTACGAAACTCCATATAATACTAAGATACAGGAACTTGATTAGTAATTTTGTGCTATATATACAAGTAATTGCAGATTTGCTGGAAAGCATATTCAGTGAATAAGTTGACTTAAAAATAGGAGACATGATATCAACAGTGTTAGTTAAAAATCACTTAGTCTACTTAGTAGTGTAGTGTTGAATAAAAATGCTGATTTGAATAATGAGAGGATAGTTCTAATTTCCGAATGTTAGTGTTGCATATTATTAAGCATCTGGTGAAATGCAAGATCTAATGTTCTTCTGTTTCTGGGCTAGTTTGAATTTCCTTTAAATAACAGCTGTTGGATAACTCTGTCTCACTAGATAATGACCAATTAATGACATTTGTCAAACAATTTTCATTGGTTGATTACAATTATTCATCACTGTTAATATTTTGTAAGCTAGCCAATCACGTTTGAGTAAATAGTTTAAATTTTTACATTATAGAATAGAAATGAAATATAAAAATTTCAGGTGACTGGAAAAAGAACTAAAAAACTGTAAAACATATGCACTTTATAGAAAGGAATAATTTTTTAATAATAAATTTAAAATTTTCAATAAATTTGGTGGTTGTTCCACTAGTAAGCCACATCATTCGATGAGGTACATTGGAATTGGAGAACTGTCATATGCACTTCTGGAGGTCTCTTTTTGTGTTGATGCACTATCACTTTTTCACGATTGTATGCATAAATGTCAGGTTTAACGATTAAGGTATCATTCGAACCAGTGAACTAATTCTAAACAGATGATATTTTAAGTCTAAATGAGGTAAGTCCGAGTGTACAACTTGAACTTACTGCAATTACCCTTACTTTCTTCGACAACTAAGTTAAAAGTGATTTTATTTTTGCTTGAATCTCCTTTGAAGGCTTCTAGTTACCTGAAACAGTTCAGTCATAACTATACTGAAAGTACTTTGGATGATAAAACTACCTTGCATCACAGAATTGTTTCCAGCGTACACAAATGTATCATGTATGTCCTGTGAACCCTCTTAGAAAAAAGTCTGTTTTTGATTCTGTCTTTAAGTGTTTTTCATTAGGTTTACTGTGACTTATACTGAGCCATGTATCAAGAACTGGCTGTACTTCTTCTCTTACCTGAAGGTCATCATCATTAATATCAAAACAGGACCGGACTTTACTGCGTAACGGTTCAAGTTACCGCATCTCATATTAGTACATCAAATAATGAAGCAATACGATGAAGAAGGCAGGAGGAAGTAGGAAAAGAGAGGAAAGAGAAATGAGAAAGTGCTAAATTCAGTATAATGATTAGACTTAGGGAACCGCGTGGATACATCTGCGCCACTGACATGAATTCCAAGCCATATCATCCGGAGCCTCCAACCACTGGTTTGTGTTGTTATGTGGACCCCAACTGGCTAGTCTGCATCTGTGTACATGCCTCAAACCAATAGTAAAGGACCTAATGCAGTGATATAATCTTTTATTCTAGCTTTCCGCCGCTTTCCCAGACTTAACGTACTTCAGCCGAAATTTCGCAATGAGGTGGACGGTTAATAGATATACGTTACACGCGTTCCAGCCATTTGAGTCGATGAAGACTCACAACCGTATCAGCTGACTTTACTTTCTTTTTTAATACTCTGCACCCAACTTCTCAATTACTGATGAGGTAAAACTACGGCACATGGCCTATGCTACGAAGGCAGCGATGGTTGAACACCTGAAGCCTTCTTGGATCTCCTACCCTCAATAGGCATGTTTCACAGCTATACATTAGAACAGGGCGAAGTGGGGCATAGTACACTCGACCCTTAATAGATAGTGGAATATTGTGGCGGCGCCGCCGATGACACAAATTGACAAAAGCCAGTTGACCATTTCATATCCGAGCAGAAATTTCGTCGACCACTGACCCATCACTCCTGACCCGACTCCCCAAGTAAGTGAATTGTAAGTAGTACAATACGGATAAAAAGAAGTGTTTCACTTCATGCCTTCTGTTCTGTCTTTATTCTTTATAAACAATTCGCCTTAAACTACTAAAGCTAATTTGGTAGGCCAAATAGCTAACAGTGTGTGTGTGTCGGTCGATGCCCTCTAAGACCATTTTTAAATGAATGGTTCCTTACTTAAAATTTACCGGTAGTCTTTTTCAAACGGTCTCAAAATAATTCCCTCTAAACGTAAAGCTGTCAAGTTTAATCTCAAAAATGAACAAGGCTTGTGGGAAATGCTTCATTCTCATGGCTAAGGCCGTGACAAAGAAGTCAAATCTTACCTATCTTGGGCTAATTACTCCTTCGAATCTTTGTTGATCATTCCATATCAGGTTAATTTCTAAAAATCTTTTGTTTAACATGTTATTAAGGTAACTGACACAGGGACACTGGGACAACTTCACATCTACTTTTGAAATTTAATTACTTTATTTTACTGAATCTTGGATACTGTTTCCCCTTGTTTTGCTCATGTGTTTAAAAAGTTTGCATTAGATTGTGTAGGATCTCGAATGCTTTCATCAAGATTAATTGCATATTTCTGATTGATACCGTCGTTAACAGACCCTTAAATTCACACAGGAAGTTGATTGCGGTCATTTTTTCGAATAGTAAGTATCCTCTTTTTTCCCATGAATTTTTCCTTATATCTTCTCAAGATGTATTATTATATTATATTATTAAATGCCCCTTGGGTTCCTAATGGAACATACGGATTCACTAGCACGTATCCATCCCACTCCACCTCTGCAAACTTTTCAACCTCGCTCCACGACAGCCTACAACCTCTCATTTCCTCCTCACACCATCTCCTCCATGTCACCCTCATCTCACCTAGTCTCGCCTCACCTCGGATACCCAACTCATCGCTTCCCATCAGGCTTCCACTCCAGCCACTGGACTCGACTCGACTCGACTGGCCTGACGCGTGATGTCCCCAATCACCTTCTCAGTCTATGCCCGATCCATCTACACACCCTTCCAATGCATATTCCTTGAATGATAGCTTCTTGTTTGCTTCGTCGCCAGCCAGCCAGCCAGCCAGTCAGAGTTCCTTCTTGCTTATTCTTATCATTCTGACAACCCATCTGAACTTCAGTATCACTATTGAGTGTAGGTGGCAGTTGTTGATGAATGTGTGTAGTTTGTTGAAATCCCTTCCGTGACGCGCCAAATCTCTCAACCATACAGAAGCACTGATTTGACTGAATTGGTGTTGAGAATCCGGATGTTGTTCACGCTTCATGCTGAGTGTAGTGCAGTAGATCTCCACACTAGTTTAAGGTTAATGACGTACTGGAAATAATTTCACGAAAGTTTATTCTAACAAAATTAAAAGTCAGTTGTACTTTGTTTAGAATACATCTTTTATAAAGAAAGAAATGTAAGAAAAGAACTTAATTATCCTCTTTGTAACAGTAAACAAACACTTGCTTCATTGTTGCCATCGGTCATGTGTTTCTATCTATATCACCAACACTGTCAAAATTGTATAATTTCTAAAATTAGAAAAGTGCCACTGAGAAAGTCTCTGATACTTTAAACACCAGTTCATTCAACATAAAGTTTGGACGTCTGATACTTCACCTACAGGATAGTAACTGGTGTGTGTTTTTAACAGGTTTTAGGAAAACATGACTAACATTTCAGTCTACCCTATGGTTCATTTTTCATTCGATTCTAACTTCCGGTGTAGACCAATGACAGGATACAGAAATGTAATTCAGTTACTAATATTCTACTTAAGAAAATAAAACAGTTCAGTGCATATGCTGAAGATTTTGCTGGATTCTCCAAATCAATAATACGTTTAACTCATTAATTCCATAACTTACAATGAGACTCGAAGAATGGTCTCAGTGTCATAAATTCCCTTCTGGACGACTTATTATTTCTAGATGTACCATTGTAATTATTAAGGTATGATTCACCACGGATTGACATCAACGGGGAGCACTAAACAGCTGATTTGTTCTAATATGGCACCCCTCAGCGCTACACACCCATGACACCGCCTTCTAAGGGATCGAACTGAGAACCTTCGGGATTCACAGCGAATGCGTTACCCATTCAGCCACTAAGTCGGAGTTCGGAGGTTCACAGTTTCCAAATTCTGTCAATTCGCGATATAACACAATTATCACCCAAGGTCTTCAGTTGGCATCCACTTCCCTTCTGACTGTTTGACCCCACAGGTCACGGTGTCTCGTTAGAACTTCGTGATATCCATCTGGAAGCATCTCATTAATGAAGACTATACGGTTGTTTTCTTGAGATGAATGGGGATTTTGATTTAGATGCAGTATGCTGAGGAGTTCCATACTAGAACGAAACAGCTATCCAGTGCTCCTAAATTTTCAACTGTTCCCTAACTGATATCAGTCCGTGATGAATACTATCTCTAAATTAAAATCCCAATTCATCTCGAAATAAACTTTATCTTTCAAGGGGGAAATGCCAGTGAATAAAATGAGGGGATAAGTTCTTGTGAAACATGCAGTTTTGATAAAACGATTGGATCTTTATTGACAAAAAATGCCAGAATTCAGTGCATTGCATCATGCAGCTTAGTGACCACATTTCAAACCTGGTTGACGGATAACAGTTGGTGCTGTATATTAAGGACCTGAAAGATATACCATTTACCTTCTAATTACAGATGATAAGGGGAGTCTGTCATGGTTCAAATAGCCCAATGACAAGGTGTAAGACTTCATCATTATGTAAGGCAGGTCAAGATCACATGGGTACACCAGTTTCTTCATGCTTTCAGGTCTCTCTTGCTAATGAAAGTCAAAAAAATGAAATACAAGACTATAGAGTCCTGACAACTAACTACAAACATCTAACACCGATGAGAAAAGCCATTAAAAATGTTTCCATACATTCTGTTGCGGCTTGAAATTGTGTATTACTAAGGCTTCACTGATTAGTTCAAGAATAAAACTTTAAAAAAATTTGGTCTAATTTGGTAGAAAGTACTATGGTATCATTGCATGACTGTTTGACTGTAATTAAGTAAATTGTTGGAAAAGAATGACTAATTATTTCTACATCAACTTGCGCTAAAAGCAACTCTAAAACATCATGGGAAATGTTCCTCAGTAAATGACCTATGTACCTAGACATACGATAAAAAAAATGTAAATGTGCAGTGAATAAGCTAATCAAAATGATGAACGGTAGGTAATCCCCTAATAATAATTCATAGAATGATGATATAACAGTGAAAAGAATTTTCTTTCCTGCAGTTCCATTTAATAAGACTGTACAATCGCATTGATACTCATTGGAGACTAATGACAAGAAGAAATGTTGCCCCTAGATATTACTTCTCTGTTCACAAACATTTCTTTAAGCAAGACTGTCTGCTTCATATACTAACCACTCAGAGAATGCCATACCTGTTAGCTACTTGAAAAAAACTGATTTTCAGATTTACTTTCAACATTCAACTCAAGTTTAGTAGAGAATTCTGTGTGTAGAAGGATAGTATGAAAATGTTATTCCATCTTATTCCACCTCTTTGTTGAAAATGATAACCTTAATCCATTAGTCAGATAATTATACTTTTACAAAAGGCACCCCTGATGACCTTTTTATCATTTGTGATGATAAATCTGACTTGATCAATTTCCCCAACATTTTCAGTGCTGTTCAAATATGTGTGAAATTCACTCTAGAATGTGAATTAAACTCAGTGTTCCTATCCCTGGATGAAGTTCAAAGGTGATAAATACTATTTCCAAATACACCTGTAAGAAATATTCTTTACAGTTAGCCTGACAGTCTTATTTTTCGGTAAACAACTGATCCATCAATAAGCTATGAATAGAGAACCGCTTTTTCCCAACTCACATAGAATGTCAATTTCACAAAATTATTTTGAAACATTGGCCATTTTAACTACCTTGAGAAAAAGAAAGGGAATACAAATCCCTCCATTCTTAGACATTTGGTCATTGTTGAAAATGTAGTCCCTTTCAACAGTTTCTTTGAAGAAACTTACAGAGTTCCAACTGTAAAAAATCACAGATGAATAACCGAATCGCCGACACTTTGTATTCTTAAACATGCTAGATGTATTAGGAAACATTAGATACACCAAACAGCCTTATCATGACCAAAATTTTCACACCATTTTGTCATGTTTTTCTGCCATAGTTTAGATGTTTGTCACTCCACATTTGCATATTTAAGCTGAATAATTTATTCCTATACTTCTTACGCAATATTTCTCGGTCTCCGAATCATCCTCCCCTATGCTGAATATTTCTCCTATTGAACAACGATTTCCCGGAATACACCACTATAATCCGATTAGTTTCATTTAGTTTTCGTTGCCAAATATAAGCACGGCTGTGCAGCTTTTAGAGTTGACATCGCTCAGATAGAAAACCTACTCCCTTTCATGTTTTTGTTCGAAAATTTGATATAAAAATTTTTTGTTTGTTAAATAATTTAACATTTTCATCTATTGGTTGTATATAGAATTCTCAACGTTTTAATATCATTTTCCTGCTAATATATTGTATATTGAATGCGAATTAGATAATCACCCTTTTAGGTGTCTAGAGGGGAATAGTAACAGTTCACTTAAACAAGTTACCAAGTAGCCACTTAATGAAGCAAAACCATTGTATATTTAGCTTACTTTTTTATGATAACGTTTCTAAGTTTAGCACTGATCAATAAATGAACGTGGGTTTTTTCAAGATTGAGAATATGCCTTGTTGATGCGTATTCTAGAACATGAAATCAGGATCAAGGGATTCATACCAGCTGGTTCTAAAGATCTAATTTCAACGTATCATCAATTCTTAGATTATTGTATGAGAATTTACACGATTAGTTTCATGAAGAAATGGAACAGTTACACTTTCAGTATTCCACCCTTTACAAAGATACACACTTATAAATTGAACAGATCTGTATTAGCTTGAAGACTACTTGGTTAAAAATCACTTCCATCAAATGAAGCAGAGGAAACATACCGACAATAGACAACTCACTCATCAGCTGGAGGTACCTGCCTCCTCTTAAGGGATGTTGTTCCCTCTAAGACTCAAACCTGGGAGGTAAGTATATCCAATTGACGAGTTCCAAATAGGACGAAACGCACATCCAGACTTCCACTGCTAACCACTGTTCATCATTAATATCAAAATTGAAAGTACAGGCAATATCGAGGCATCTACATAGCAGCCTATATACCATTAGTGACCGATCACTTTGGTTCAATCAATGACCGGATAATACAAGCAACAACATGATATTACTCCCTTAGTATCGAAATATTGAAAATGAATTGATCATAATAATTATCTTGAAAAAGAAATTTTTCCTAACCATATCTTCCTTGATTCACACTCCGAAGGTTTCGCACTGAAAAAGGCCTTCATCAGATAAGTGACACCCCAATTCAGTTAATTGTTTAATTGAATTGAATAGTTAGCAGTTCAGTATTTGTATAAATTGCTTATCTTTGACTTATCATGCCCTGGATACTTTTGTTTTGGTCAAAAATTGAGTCGATTTAAAGACAGTGATAGATAAACTGATACCAGCTGAAATTATGATACTTCACCAATAGTTTTTTACAAGTTATTTCAGGGATAAGTATATAATTTAATGGCGGTTATTTGAGCTTCACCCTAAGTTTACTTTTTTTGAAAATATATATCCAAAGGCGTGTTGCTTTCCATTCTTTCTGACAAATACCACTCCTCGAAAGGATGGCATAGATCACTTAGTTTCTTGTGGATGTGACTTCCAAGGAAACGTAAAACCATAAAAATTGCAAAGTGTATAGTGGGTTTAAGCTGATTAGCCTGAAAACTGATGAGAAAAGCCTTTCATTGACAATGCTATCAAGGTCTTAATCGTGTTGTGTATGTTGGGTAAATTCCAGAAATGAGTTAACTAATGCTTTGATAACACTACAAACCTTGGTCTGATTCATCTCTTGAAATACAATTCATATTTATGATGCTTATATATCAAATGGATTTGTTAAAACTATACACTTTCCATCAATGTCTTCATGAAATGTTTCAGGACAAAGGTCCATTATGATTGTCTCGCATTTCAACGGAAAAAACGGCCATATTTAGTTACACATTATTATTATTATTTATCCCTTGGGTTCCTAATGGAACATACGGATTCACTAGCACGTATCCATCCCACTCCACCTCTGCAAACTTTTCAACCTAGTTCCACGACAGCCCACAACCTCTCATTTCCTCCTCACACCATCTCCTCCATGTCACCCTCACCTCACCTCACCTCGCCTCGCTTCGCCTCGCCTCGGATACCCAACTCGTCGCTTCCCATCAGGCTTCCACTCCAGCCACTGGACTCGACTCGACTCGACTGGCCTGACGCGTGATGTCCCCAATCACCTTCTCAGTCTATGCCCGATCCATCTACACACCCTTCCAATGCATATTCCTTGAATGATAGCTTCTTGTTTGCTTCGTCGCCAGCCAGCCAGCCAGCCAGTCAGAGTTCCTTCTTGCTTATTCTTATCATTCTGACAACCCATCTGAGCTTCAGTATCACTATTGAGTGTAGGTGGCAGTTGTTGACGAATGTGTGTAGTTTGTTAGACATCCCGTTCGTAACGCGCCAAATCTCTCAACCATACATAAGCACTGATTTGACTGAATTGGTGTTGAGAATCCGGATGTTGTTCACGCTTCATGCTGAGTGCAGTGAAGCAGATCTCCACACTGGTTTCAGGTTAATCAACGCCTGTTTTGCTGTCACTGCAATCCTGACTGGCTTCGACATCCTCGTCTGTGCCTGTACCACCTGTAGTTGAAACAGTGCTGCCTAGTTGGTAGGTGAAGGAGGTTACTTCCTTCAAGTTTCTCCCGTTGATGGTGATTGGAGTTTGTTGTTGTTGTTGTTGTTGGTGGTGGTGGTGGTGATGATGTTGGCTGGGTATCTTCATCACCTCTGTTTTCTCTATATTCACTTGAAGTCCCATCTTCGTTGCCTATTTAGTTACATTTATGGGGTCAAAATGCTAAACCTTCATTAATTCATAGAGAAAGTAGTAGCTCAATCAAAGTCACAGTGTGGATTTTGAATTTATCTATTCAATTCACCATAAACTTGTTTAGTATGGTGAACACCCTGAAAATCAGACAATAGAACGGTAATCTAGTTATAGTATGAGTAGTATATACTCTCAGTTCCATACTTGACTAACCTTAATGTATTCTATTGTAAGTACATTGCAACTCAGTCATTGAGTCAAAAAATCCAATGAACAAAACTCTAAAATCGTAACCACTTCTTAACATAGTGACGCTATATTAAGGGATCATTGATAGTTTTCCATTACTAATCTTGACAAGATTTGAACCTTTTGTCAGGAATATTTTCACAGTACGGCTTTTCTGTGGTGCTTCCCTGTGTTATTATTGCTTAGTGTGAATTCATACATGAATCTTTCAATCACTTGTTTCTTCCTGAAATTTCTTAAAGTGAGTCAACATGGTCTGAATGATGAAACTAACATGAAGATATTCAGTGATGAGATAGCGTCCATCATTTCTAAGCGATGACTGATTATACATTAAATCATAAGAAAATTATTGAAAGAAAAGTGAGCGATTCATTAATGTAATCAACCGCCACTCACTGGACAATCTAATTACTCATTATTTACTTCATGATTTAATGTTTCTCCTTTGAAAAGCTCTCCTCAATAAAGGAAATGTATTTACCTAACTCTGCTGTTCATCTAACTAGTCCTGTTTATACTACTACTACTACTACTACTACTACTACTACTACTACTACTACTACTACTACTACTACTACTACTACTACTACTACTACTACTACTACTACTACTACTACTACTACTACTACTACTACTACTACTACTACTACTACTACTACTACTACTACTACTACTACTACTACTACTACTACTACTACTACAACTCACACTACCACTGCTACTACTACCACTCACACTACCACTACTACAACTCCCACCACCACTGCTACTACTACTACTCACACTACTGCCTTTTGTTTTCTCGTTGTAACCACTAAATACGTAATGTTACAAGATGTTTTTACAACCCTTTCTTCACTAAAAAACGTTGAAAATAAGCTTGTCTTAACTTGTTGGTACAGGTATTGTAATTTAATAGAAACTCTTCTCTTGTTAATACTCCATTATTTTGTAATTTCAATATAGATATTACTTACGGTAGAAATGTTAGTAGTATAGCTGAATACTCAATGATATTTTATTACACACAGATTAACTATAAGTTTATTATGTTTTCTCTTATATCATTATGATTACATTTACTATTAAATGGTTGCGGTAAATCAAAGCCTCAACATCTCTACTATATCACAATGCCGATTTTCACTTCAAAGGAAATGGAGAATTTCTACCTAACGAGTGAACTGTACGCCCATAATATATATATATATATGCTTGTATGCGTAACATTAACTACTAATAATAGTACAACTAACAATGTGCTACCAATGCAGTTTAGTAATGTTGTTTCTATCGTTGGTATCACCATTACTTTTTTTCTCTCAGTTTACAACTAGTTTTGTACAACTGGAAAACTGTTGCGGTTTTCGTCCTTTCTCACTCTTTATGAATTCCGTTCTGCATGATACATAAACATATTTGTTAATGGAGACGTGCACACACACTCAGACATACATACATACACACAAATACACATAAAAACATATTCATTTCTATATACTCTCACTCTTTTTCTCCACCTTTTTTTACATATCTTACTTTGGCGCTTTTCCTGTTATTTATTGCATTGTGTTGTGTGATTCAAATACTGCATATCTAGTGAAGTCATTACCGCTTAAATTTGTTTGTGACATTCAGGGGAAGTAAAGCGGGAATCAGTACATCTATCTCTGCGAATAGGATATTTCAACTTGGTGAGTTATCAAAATAATAGTACCTTAAAACCCCAAGTTTGTTGAAAGGTTTCAGGTTTCCAAGACAGTGAACGATAGTGTCTTAAGGGCGAGAAAAAAGAACTATATTACTTTTAATGTTTCAATATATTAATGAAAATAAAGATATTCGATCGGCTCCAATGGTTGATCCGAATAAAAATGATACTAATTACAGTATTAATAATTCAAAGGCGCCTATCTCTTCATCAACTACAATAACCGATGTAATCATATAAGAAGGTAACTTATACGAAATTGGTTTTTTGTTGTGGTTCATTTCGGCAATCACAGTTCTCTTCAAATGTACACTTACAGCCTTAAACTCTGTACAAATAAATTACTTTTTAAAGTTGATTCATTGTATGAATATTAATGAGCAGTTATATACAAAAATGAAGAAATGAAACTTTGAAGTAATTTTTGAAGTACTTTGTTGATCTTGGAATAAGAATTCAGTGTAGCTGTAAAAATGAGGATCTTGACACTTATTTTGAAGCTGTCGACAAGTATTGAATGAAATAACACAGGAATATCGGCTTAATCTTTCATTGACTTATAAAATCTTGAAGTATCTAAGCAGTGAATAAGGAATGTATGGAAACAGTAACACATTTAATGTTTACATCTAGTTGAGAATATATATCCTCATGAATGCATGCCACCACTTCATTTTCTTGAGTACACTTTAATGAAATTTTCTTGTATGAAGGCTTAATGTCTATTCAGACTACTACTTCAAGTTTTGGTGACTTCTTATCATGTCTCTTGATGCTTAATACTGACTGGAATATCACTCTTTCGACAACAGATGTTTGTACAAGGCTGCTTTACATGTAGAGTTGCAACATTTACAACTACAAAGCTGCTATGGGCAACGTTACCTCATAATCTTTTCCATGTAAATATATTGTATTTATCTCCTCATACATGGTTAGCCTACAAACATAACCATGTCTGAATCAAGTAAACCACTGCATACATTTTATTTATCATATTCTTCACTGAAACAAAACATTAGTTTCTGATGTTCTATCTGAATGAATTCGGTGCTTATTGTAATGAATTCAATTTTTAACATTCTGTACAAAAAGCTATTCATTATTAGTTGTTGAGTTAATCGGTTATCACTTGAATAGTTGGCAAGTTGCTTTATGTGGACAAGTTCCTTCACTGATAACCATTTTTTGCACCAAATGAAAAGTATTAAAGACCCTTATTCCCTGGAATTGACTGATATTCTATTGTTCATATTGTGTTTAGCTTTCATTTAAAATCTTCTGAAATAATAATTATAGTCAGTGACTGAAAAACAGCATAGTTTCGGTTAGAACTACGTCCCTTTACCTTTTGTATCTAAAATCAAGACTGTTGAGTTTTTGTGGAAAAACATCACTTTCTGAAAAGGTACATTGATTCCCAATAGAACTGTTCTGAAGTATTGTCAAATTTTCAGGGAATACTTCTATGATTAGAGATTACGGTTTACTGCGATAAATAATTTAGCAAGTTATCATCAATCCCATAAATAAACGAATGTAGTTCCGGAACTAAACTCCAAGTTTCCATATTTATACTTTGGTACAATTAGTAGAATTGAGCAACAGAAAAGAAAAACGTTTAGAAATTATGGTGATGCAGGTTTGAATCTCAGGAAGGACATCATTTCCGTCGAAGTTGTAGATACACCTTGCTGACGAGTACTGAAAGGCAAGAAGCCTAGGTTGAACAGGATTTCCGACCAATTAGGTCCAAGCAACTAAAATTCGTTCAAGTGCATTATAATGCTGATCCACTCCATCTGGTGGCCACATTGCAAAAATGATCGATAGAATTTGGTCAAAACTCAAGACTAGACAATATGAAATTGATCGCCGTTCAGTGACCAATCAATGTAAGCAGTAAATGATCCTAAAGACATTGAACACTCATATGTTACCCGTATCCCAGTCACCTAAACCAATAAATATTGAAAACATCACCAAGTGATTTGTTCTATGCCTAACATTACCATTTCTCACTACATACTTGATTAGTACTTAGATGATATTTTGGAAATGTCAGTCATCATTATGTCGTAATCCACATAAGTGAATTGGTCAATAGGCTTTGAATCAGTTAAATTACTTTTGATAATTGACCGCCTGGAAAACAACAGTACTTATCAACAATTAGTGCTTTTTCCTTTCTATTAGTACATACTTGGAAACAGTTAACTTTATCTAAGCTTTTCATCTATCATATCTTATTTATCTTCGATTTTGTTAGTAAGTAGAGTCTTTGAAGTTCATAACATTCACATAGTCTATTGTATTTGTGCCATTGGATTGTTGATATTTAGCTATGGATACTTGATCTTCAGTGCTTATATTATTTACTGCGTTATCGATTGTTCGAAATGTAATAAGCGCGTAGTTCAGAATTGATTTTTGTACTTATCGCAGTATAAACCATTGCTTAGAAGGAGGCGCACCTGGATATAAAAACTCTTACTTGAGTTCTGTTGTTGAAAAGAGGAATGTATGAACACTGACTTTGATAGCATGAAGAGTGAAGTCAATATATATATAAGTCAACATATATTCTGATATGAGATTCATCAGATAAATGCAGCAATCATCAAGTGTTCACTCTTTCCAGTAACGCTTGATAGGGATCCTATAACCATATTAACCAGAAACTATCAGTAACAACCATCCGTGTTATGAAACTAGTTAGTAATTTGAGATATCATTGTCATAAGGAGATGATGACTACAACTAGAAAAAGCATTCAGCGAACTACCCACAAACAGTACTAGAAGAGACCCAACTTTGAAATTACAAAGTTAACTAAAAGATTAACCACATGAGCACATGCGTCTAAGATTTAGGCACAGATACTGCAAGGATGGACTGACTAAGAACTGAATGAAGACAGTAGCAAACAAATGAAAGACTTTTTGATAGCCTGCCAATCAGCCAGAGATTAAACCAATAAATGTTGGTTAACTTATAAGTAAAGTGTGAACGTATTTCACTCAATAATAGCGGTTTATCACTAAGATATGCTGATATTGATTCAAGTTTGTTATTACAACTCATTACATTTTATTATTATTATTTTATATAACGGTTACTATAAGGTTAATAAAATTGCATATTTACATAGTGTTTACAAAAAAAGGTGCAGATTACTTTTCTTAGTAGCCCATCATTACTATACTTAGAACACAGGTAATATCGAGGTATCCGCACAGGAGCCCATATGCCAATACAAACCGATCAATTCGGTCTCATCAACGATGGTATAATACAAGCAATAGTATTAAAACTATACCCGTCATATAAGAAGCGGCTAACGTGGCTGGATAGTTAAGTGGGTACAGCTGCAGCGTTTGAAGCGATCGGTCCCGAGCTCGAATCCCGGCGGGAACAACACGCACTGGAGGCGAATACATCCAGTTGACGAGTCCCAAATAGGACGAAATGCGCATCCTGGATTCCACTGCTAGCCACTAGCCACCATTTTTATAATTAGAACACAGATAATATAGAGGCATCCGCATAAGAATTCGTATGCCAATAGAGACCGATTAGTTCGGTTCAATCAATAACGGTATAATACAAGCAACAGTACTAATGGTCACAGAGTGTTTAGAAAATTAAAATATTTCTGAACATTTCCGTGTGTAAGCCACAGCTTCTTCAGCAGATTATAGGGTTTTCTATGAGTATCCGTATATTCATTCTGCGAAAGAAATTTAGTTTTCGAAACATACGGGGACTACATTAAAATATATTCTTCTGATGATTATTATCAGACTCAGGGCTCAGCTTCTTCCAGGACATTCGTAACAACTATGGTTTGGATGTTTATAATCCTATCTTTCTTATTGCCGAACAGAGAATAGTCTTAAACCATTAGGTTAAACAATCAGGTTGATAAACGTCTTTAAGTATATTAGCACTACTCAGAAGCAATATCGGTTATAAATAATCATTTTAATAAAGCAGTAATAATATCAGATTTATTGTAGGTATAGAATTTAGGCACTGTAGTAAAATGTAGTGCGATACTAGATTAGTCAATTTAAAATGGAACATTGTAATATAATGTCGTTTACTACATGAGGTTCCTAGAAGACTAGGCCAGAAAGATGAGTGATTACCTTGATATGGTTATCGACAATAAATCGTGTTTGAAACGTCATCTAGTAAGTAATATCATCAAATGAACGAATATAATATGGAATATCAAGTTTAATTTAACGGACTGTAATTTTTTCTCGGCTCTTTCTTTCTCAACAGCTATACAACCACAATTCTATACGCCCGTCGCTACTACTGACTGAATGCTTTAGTGAAGTCATCGGATTGCTATCGTTGAAATTGCTTGTCGCTTGACTGGCCATGGCCACAGAACCTGAAGGTCCTAGCTTCAATCTCTGGAGTGTCGTGGGTGTGCACCGCTGAGGAGTCTCATACTAGGACGAAACAACTGTCCAGTGCTTCCAGGTTTCCAATGTTTCTCCAACTGATGTCAGTTCACGCTGAATTCCAACCTATAGGAAAATTTTAAAAAACGTAAATATTAACACAGGGAAGCGTCTGGCCTTTATAACTGTTAGGTCCAAGGTTGAACAAGTATTTTTGAACACTTAATTCCGGTTTCTTCATTCTTATGACAAGAGCTCCTGCAGTACAGAAAAGGTGGAAATGTACTATTTTCACGTTGTAGATGACTTTGAACCCTAAATCGGTTGTGATACTCTGATTATTATTGACTAGCTGCTCAATTGTTGCACTTTTGATCAATCCACTCGCTTCTGGTTGCCATCAGGTAAGGTAATGTTTTTTAAGACGCTTTAAAAGAAGGCAAAAACCCAACGACATGAATGCCTGACTCCACGGAATTTTTCGTACGTGGAAGCTAATCTTTTGGGTTACTAGAAGTCATTGAATAGCTGGGTAACAAATCCTCAAAGTTGACATAAAGAAAGGTCTCTTTAGCAAGTTAGAAATTCTTCATTTCAAGGTATCACCAGAGAAGTCACCTATGCAGTCAAGATTACACTTGTTATCTTTTGATCTTCATTCAACCTAGTCTTTCTAACTACATTTGATTAAATAAGGCATGTAACTAGCCAACATAGTGGAACAAAAAAGTATAAAATTGCTATTGTATGGCTGTAGAGAATGAATTCACCGGAAAAAGGTGTCTTCAGTGGACTTCTAGTTTTAAATACAATGACTCAGTTGGTGGTTTGCAGGGAACCACTGGTTTGAAAGTTATTTTCACCAAGGATTGACATCAATTGGGGAACATTTGAAAACCTGGGAACAATTGACATACAATCTGTCTTAGTGTATGACTCCTCAGAAGCTCACACCAACGATTTCGCCTGGGTTTGAACCCAAAGCCATCAGGTTTCATGGTAATCAACTTGTCACTCAGCCAATGATATAGGATGCACAGATTTTGTACCTTCCACTCCAAACCTTTTATTATGTGGAGCTACCATCATGTAATTACATTGGTGGGCATCAGCCTCATAGCCAGCTTGGAAGGTAATTTAGTTTATAGGTTTACATCTAACCTACACGTCAGTTAAAATCAGGGGTTACACACAATTATTATTTACATCATTATTTATCCCTTGGGTTCCTAATGGAACATACGGATTCACCAGCACGTATCTATCCCACTCCACCTCGGCAAACTTTACAACCTGGCTCCACAACAGCCCACAACCTCTCATTTATTCCACGCACGATCTCCATGTCACCCTCACCTCACCTCACCTCGCCTCGCCTCGCCTCAGACACCCAACTCATCGCTTCCCATCAGGGTTCCACTCCAGCGACTGCACTGCACTGGCCTGACGCGTGATGTCCCCAATCACCTTCTCAGTGTATGCCCAATCCATCTACACACCCTTCCAATGCATATTCCTTGAGTGATAGCTTCTTGTTTGCTTCATCGCCAGCCAGCTAGCCAGTCAGTCAGTCAGTCTGTCAGTCAGTCAGTCAGAGTTCCTTCTTGCTTATTCTTATTATTCTGACAACCCATCTGAGATTCAGTATCACTATTGAGCGTAGGTGGCAGTTGTTGACGAATGTGTGTAGTTTGTTGGAAATGTCTTTCGTAACGTGCCAAGTCTCTCAATCATACAGAAGCACTGATTTGACTGAATTGGTGTTGAGAATCCGGATGTTGTTCACGCTTCATGCTGAGTGCAGTGAAGCAGATCTCCACACTGGTTTCAGGTTAATCAATGC